AAAATATCAACGATCTCATTAACCGACTTCTCTAACGACGAGCCATTGGCTGCGGTGCTTAACATCATTCTTGATTAATGATCCAATCCCCTATAGAACTGTTCTATCTACACACATGCGGGCAATCCATGGCTCGCATCTTTTGGTTATTAGGCGAGACACAGCACCTACGTCGAGTTTTCTGGTTGCAGGCTCATTTGATCTCAGGCGAAGCTGCTCGTCTCAAGGACACGAGACCTCTCAGAAATTCTCCGTCAACAATATATATTTGTAAGATTGAACTTTATTTTTGCTTCCACATAAAAATAAACGAAATTAAGCTTAAATAAAAATTTACTTACATATTTATATTTTTACTTTATCAACAAGTTAATCAATCATAGTACCCACAGCATCCTCAATAACCATTATGTCGGATGTGGGTACATTTGCATTTGGACCATCAATTTGGTTGTTTTACTGTATTAACCCACACTCGTACAGCATTTGGATCGAGAGGGATGTGATGCACAAGTACTGATGGATCGTTAAAAGACCATCTTCCTTCAGCAATTACTTCTCCAGAACCAATCCAGTCGAGCAACATACACTTTCATGGAGCATTATTGATGGCAACACTTTAATTGTACCAGTAAAGAAAATTTCAAAGAGTAATAAATTTAAATACTAATTCAATACAAACTTACATATAGTGCTAAACATACCGATGGAGAATCTAAATTTGCTGATAGAATATGTGCTGATGTCGGTACATTTGCAATATAATTGGAATTTTGTTCGCTTGACTTAACCTATATGTACAAAGTATAGAAATAATGGAGTCTGAAAGAATCATTTAAAATAAGCAATGTTAAGTAACTTTACCTTATCTGCGAGTAAGGAAGATACCAAAGACTTCAACTCATTTATATCTGATGTCATTCGATCGCATTGTTCTTTAAGATATGTAATAGTTTTATCCTTTTGAGTCATAGAGAACAACTTTAATTTTGTCACTCCATGTCCATATCCTCTTACATAACCACAATCAGGACCCAATACTTTACTGATTGCATCACCAACCACATTAGTGTCATTACTTATGACGCCCCCAAAATTTCACTACTTAACAAGATGACGTCACTATATTAC